CAGGTCTATGTGCAGCGGTAGTGTACTCCACCATGGCCGGGCCCTTCCACATCAGTCAAGGAAATGTTCCACAGACTTGCCTACAGGCCACTCTGATGGAGGCATTTCTCAATTAAGGCTCCTACTTCCCAAGTGAATCTAGTTTGTGTCAAGTTGAAAAACTCCCCAGCGCAATTGCTTTATGATAATTCCCAATAGGATTTCTAGTCCTCTTCTTCATTTGTTTTTTCCTTTGCTTTCTCGAGACAAGGTTTCTCTGTAGCTTTGGAGCCTGTCCTGGAACTCTCTTTGTAGATCAGGCTGGCCTCAAACTCACAGAGATCTGCCTGTCTCTGCCTCCTGAGTGTTGGAACTAAAGGCGTCATCACTGCCTGACTCTCTTTTGTTTTTGACAGAGGGTCTCACTATATAGTCCAGGCTGGACTGGAACTCGGAATTCTTCTGACTCAGCCTCCCAAGTGCTGGGATACGTGTGCCACCATGCAATGGCAACATGGTTCCTGCTTTTAGAAACGGGGCCTCTGGCAGCCACTAAGTTTACCCTGCTGCCTCAGACTCCAGAGTGCTGGAGTTGCAAGACTATGTCCACCACACCTGATGATGCTGATTTTAACCTACACGGGTTCAGAACACATCCATCAGGAAGATTTCTGGAAAGGAATCTCAGTTTCCCGTGGTGCTCATTCACAAGCACACAGTTCCCTGCCCATGCTCACTCCTGCACGAGTCTGTTTCCCATGGTGCCCATTCACAAGCACACAGTTGCCTGCCCATGCTCACTCCTGCACGAGTCTGTTTCCCATGGTGCCCATTCACAAGCACACAGTTGTCTGCCCATGCTCACTCCTGCACAAGTCTAAGTGGAACCTGTAGCCAGAAACCTCCTAGTGACACCCACGGAGAAGGAAAGAAGACCTCTCTTCCTACCAGGGACTGACTCTTAGTCATGGAATGTTCTAGAGGCACTTTCCACCGGCATGACCCTCACACTTTCCCCTCTGGACTTTCCCAGAAAGCAGCCATGCCTCCATTGCAAGCTTTTCGGTTCCCTGTGTACCCGCCCCTGTGGATAACTAAACACCTGCTACCTCACCCCACTACCTAGGAGGAGACTACCCTTCCCTTCCTTCACCCAGATGCAAGGGCTATTGTTAATTATTTTTTTCTGTGAACTGTTTTCAAGCTTTGAGAACACATAAAAACATGAAATTGGGAAATTAGTGTGCCCATTTTGAGGAACAATTTGTTAGCTTCTTTCAAAGCTAAAGATGAATTTATCTAAAAGTGACACAACTATTCCACTCTAGGGTATGCACCCAATAAAACTGAAAACAGGCATATGATCAAGATGTACTCCTGTACATTTATATGCCCAACATAGCAATAGCCAGAAGCAGAAACCACCCATGCCCATCAATAAATGGAAAAATAAAACAGGTCCTCCTCCATACAGTAAAATATTATTCAGTCATTTCAACGGATATGTACTGACATATGCTACAATGAGGACGATTTTTTAAACATTGTGTTAAGCTGATGAGGTCACTCATCAGGAAGAGGGGCTTTGCCACCTGTCTGGAATCCATGGCTGTCCTCTGGCCTCTGTACAAGCAGTGGCTTATGCACGCCCCCAAACACACAGCAACTAAACAATGTAATAACTTAAAATCTACATTGTACTAAAGAATCAGAGCGGGGGCATGATGGCATGTGCCTGTACTTCCAGCATTGAAGTGGCTGCTAGTTCCGGGCCAGCCAGGGCTAAACTGACCCAGCCTCAAAAGGAGGGGAGGGGAAGAGAGAGGAGGGGAGGGGAGGGAGGAACCAGATACAAAATAATTAAATAAATAAATACAAAATAATTAGATCTATACTGATGGAAGTCGATTAGCGGTTGCTAGGAGCTGTTCAGAAAAGGAAACAGGAAGTAATTGTTCAAAGGATCTGAGTTTGCTTGTTTGTTTGTTTGTTTGTTTCTGAGGTGGTGAAAATCTTTTGGAATAAATAGAGGTGGTGGTCATATAACATTACAAACAAGTCAAATGGCACAGGACTGTACACGATTTTAAAAGAATTATTCATGTGTATGTACATGTGCCTGCCTGGTGCCAAAGAGGTCAGAAGAGGGATCTCATGGAACTGGAATTATACAGACAGTTGTGAGTCATCATGCAGGACGCTGGGAAACACCTGGGTCTTCACCAAGAGTGGGTGGTATTCTTTTTTTTTTTTTTCTTTCATTCTGGTTTTTCGAGACAGGGTTTCTCTGCATTGTTTTGGAGGCTGTGCTGGAACTCTCTCTGTAGATCAGGCTGGCCTCGAACTCACGGAGATCCGCCTTCCTCTGCCTCCTGAGTGCTGGGATTAAAGGCGTGCACCACCAACGCCCAGCTTCGAACAGTGTTCTTAATTGCTGAGACATCTCTCCTGTCTGGGAGTTGTACATATTAAATGGATGGTTTCTTACATAATTTTCATCTCCAGTTCTTAAAAGGGCAGTAAGACCTGTGAGTGAGTGTGTGTGTGTGTGTGTGTGTGTGTGTGTGTGTGTGTGCTTCTGTTTTGTTGTTGTTGTTTGTTTTCTTTCTTTTTCTTTTTTTTCTTTTCTCTTTTTTTTTTTTTTTTTGAGACTCGGTCTCACTGTGTAGTACTGGCTGTACTGGAACCCACTATTGTAGACCAGGTTGACCTCAAACTCACAGAGATTCTCCTGCCTCTGTCTCCTCCTGAGTGATGGAATTAAAGGCATGCGTCACACCCACCTATTTAAGATTGTAACCAAATATTCCCCCATACAAAGGCAGCTCTGGGAAATCTCAGACTCAGGATGGTAAACCCTGTGATGACCCTGTTTAAGTCACAGCCAAGGTCAGATCTCACCCCTCCTCAGTAATGCTGTTTACAGCACTAATCCTGACAATTGGGAATCCAAGACCACAGGTGTATTCACAAGACCATGGGTGTATTCACATGACCACGGGTGTATTCACAAGAACACGGGTGTATTCACAAGACCACGGGTGTATTCACAAGAACATGGGTGTATTCACAAGAACACGGGTGTATTCACAAGAACACGGGTGTATTCACAAAACCACGGGTGTATTCACAAGAACACGGGTGTATTCACAAGAACACGGGTGTATTCACAAGACCACGGGTATATTCACAAGACCACGGGTGTATTCACAAGACCACGGGTGTATGCACAAGACCACGGGTGTATGCACAAGACCACGGTGTATGCACAAGAACACGGGTGTACTCCCTTCTCATGTCTCCTCACTCCTCTATTCTGGAACCACTCTCAGCCTTTCAGTGTTTTCCATTTTGATCTTTCCTTGACACTGGCATTTTGAAGAACACAGGCTGGATAGAGGGATGGGACAGGAGTGACTTCAGCACAATGAGGAGTTCTTTCACATCTTTACTTAGGAAACAACCAAAGCAGTTGGTTGCTTGCTACTGTTAAATTGATAATACTACAGCTAGCCCTCAACATCATCAGCGATCTGAGAAGGATAAATCAGAGCAGGAAGTATAATCCAAGTGGCCTCCGTATCAGTTAAAGTGACAGAGACTTACCCACTCCCTGGATGATTACCTTAGGCTCCTCCATAGTGAGCTCAATGGTTTTGTTGCAGGCAGAAAGCAGCATAAAGTCTTCCACTGCTACACAGGGTAGTAACAGTAGTCAGCTGCCCGACCTAGAAGGTCTGAGAGATTACTCTGTGGAAGAGGAACTTGGGAAAACAGAGCTATCTTAGCAAGGCAGAGTAGAGCAGTCAATTAAAAAGTGTCCACAGTTTGTGACAAGGACCCTGGTGGCAAGTGAGGCATGAGACAGTTCTTTGCCCAATAGTTAGTGTTACAACAATCCAGGTAGAGTTGTCAGCCCTGTCATCTTCTTTGGAAGAGACCTTACGGCTGCTGCTAGGATCTGTATTGTTTGGGAGGCTGTCCTGGAACTCATTCCGTAGACCAGGCTGGCCTCGAACTCACAGAGATCCACCAGCCTCTGCCTCGAGAGTGCTGGGATTAAAGGCGTGTGCCACCAACGCCCAGCTAAGTATACCTGATTTTAAAAAATGTCTCTCATTAGCTTGTTTCAGGCTTTACCTTGACAGTATTTACAGGAGGCTAAAGGTTGTCACTATAAATGAATTACATTTGCACTTATCATGACTACAAGCATAGTTCTGAGCACATTGAAGATCATTTTCTGAGTGATGGTGACAAATGCCTTTGATCCCAGCACTTGGGAGGCACAGGAAGGTAGATCTCTGTGAGTTCAAAACCAGCCTGGTCTACAGGGCTAGTTCCAGCATAGCTGGGGCTGTTGCACAGAGAAAGCCTGTCTCGAAAAACAGACAAAGAATTTGATCATTTATAAGGTGACTAACCATTAACTTGCATGTCTTAGTTATCTTTAATGATTTACAAGTTAGTATATTTATAAGAGGAACATTTTTCAATTTTATCCTTGTTAAGTTTGAGCCTTAAAATTTTGAATTGATTATTTAATTGAAGATCCTTTAGCATCATAAAACTTTAAGCCATAAATACAATCTTTATCAGGATTGGGAACTTTCTTGATCCTTTCATAGTCCCCTATTACAGATAATGTTTTGTATGACTCAGTTTATCCAAACAGCTGAAGCTTAATAAAGTTAGCAAAGACAAAGAGGCTAGACACCTATATTCAAGTCAGTTTCTACTAGCCTGAATAGACCTTAGGAATTTATAAACTTATTTATCAAATATATCTTATTCATCAAACATATATTGTTCCTTATCTAAAATTTTTCAGAGTCTAGTGTTGAACACAATTAGCAAAGACATAACTGGTTAGACATACATATCTAAGTCAGATTTTGTTAACCTGAATAGACTTTTATTACCTTAGGAATTTATAAACCTTATTTATCAAACATACACTATTAAAATTTTTACTTGAAAGACAAAATCATCATACAAAAATCCATCCTAATCCAAAAACATCTTGGAGAACTGCCTTTATTGCTTGCTTAATCTAAAAGGACATATAATGATAAGCAGAGAGCTTAACAGGACTAAAAGGTTTTAGAGGTGTGTACTCTTTTAACTTCAGTAAAGATGGCCGCCAGTCCATCAACCAAGATGGAGGCAAGCCACATGGTTGCTATTTTAAAAAGCAATTTTCCTAAATAAGAGTTTAATCCAAGATACATACAAGTATGTTGTAGGAAATTAAGATTAAGATTAACTATGTATAGACTTTCTTAAATATCAGACTTTTGTTACAAACTGTAATCTAACTTCTGTCGTAGATTTTAGAAATTTTCAACCATACTTGCTAAACTTACAAATCCTGAGATAAAGAATTTACACAATAGTCTTAAAGAGATCTTTTTTTATTTTTAAATCTAATGAACATTTATTATACTTCCAAATTTGTTGGGGTTTTCTCATGAATTTTTTTGTTGTTTCTTAGGTTTTTTAAGATATAAAAAACTTTGGGAATTTCACATCATGCACCCCAATACCACTCATCTCCCGATCCCTCCATATCCACCCCTCACCACTGCAGCATGCTCTTCCCCCCAAATTAATTAAAAACAAAACAAACAAAAGAGCCCATCTCAGCTTCTTCATTCACCCTGGTGGCATCGGGAGCTGCTGTGTGACACACAGTGTACCCTTTGTCCAATCAGCTCCACCCACAAAATGTTCCTTGTAAAGAGTCAGTGGTCTGCTTCAAGGCCTCTGGCACACCATCATCACTGGGCCCTCGCCAAAAGTCTTCTTGGATGTCCTGCTGCTGTTGCTCCAAGTCGTGGAGGTCCTGTGGTTATCCTTCCGCAGGACCAGTTCCTTCCCACACTCCAGCAGGTCATAGAGGTGGACTACCCAAGGCCCAGGATGTGGGTCTGGATGGTAGCTGAGCTGGTCACTCCAGGCCACTGGGGCCACCCCCTCAGGTGATGTGGGGAGCCAGCTCTCCTAGGCCCACACCATTGGGGCTAGCTCTCCCGGGCCTGTAGAGAGAGGTGAAACCATCTCTGCCGAATGTGGGAGGCTGGGAGGCAGCTCTCCCATGGGGTGATGGGACCAAGTCTCCTGGTGCAGTGTCCAGTGAGGGGCAGGACCAGCTCAGCACAGCACTCAGATTTCAACACCAATGGTTCCTGTGACCCCTATGTGGTAACACAGACTATGAACATCATCAAAGACCACCCTCCATCCCCCTACTCCCCCACCCCCAGCTGCAGCAGGACCGTGGGTCCAGACGTGACCCTAAGCAGCAGCCCAGGCCCAGACACCACCATGACCCTGGGTGGCAAGCAGGTCTCTTATATCAGCCTACTCCTTAGCGCTTTCATCATGGGGGCGGGGCAGGAAGCAGGCCACCCACCTCAGCCTGACCCTCACTGCTGTCACTTCTTCAGAACTGCCTCTTACCACAGCACACAGACCACTGCCCCTCTTTCTCTCCCATTTCTCCACCACAGACTTGCTCATTATAATGGCACTCATGGGCAGGCCTACGGATGCTTCAGGCGGGCTGGACCATGAGGACCCCAGCTGCTGCCCCATGGCTGTCTTCAGGTAGGATCTCTCTCTCTCTCTCTCTCTCTTTTTTTAACGAGACAGGGTTTCTCTGTGGCTTTGGAGGCTGTCCTGGAACTCGCTCTTGTAGACCAGGCTGGCCTCGAACTCACAGAGCTCCTCCTGCCTCTGCCTCCCGAGTGCTGGGATTAAAGGCGTGCACCACCAACGCCCAGCTCAGGTAGGATCTCTTAAGAGATTTGGTGGGGTGGGTAGCAGAAAGTCAAGTAAACAAAGAGATGAAAGAATTTCAAGTGGAAAGTAGAAAAGACTTAGAGATAAGAGATTTGGGGATCATTTGCTTGTGCAATTTGGAACTCAAGTGTTCCATTTTGGCCACTGAGCTGTCCCAAGGTCAAGACATATGCAGTAAGACATAGACTTTAATGAAATCTTTGAGTCCAAGGGGGAAAAAACCTTAGAGAAAGAGAGAAAGGTTTGAAAAACAAGAGCTCTCCCAGAGGGCAATAGCAACCCAGGAGCTAGCTCAGTCAGCCAATGGGAGGGGCAGAGACAGAGCAGGCAGCTCCTAGGGGGCAGGAGAAAGCTCTAGGAGGAGCTGAGAACACTTATAGAGAGAGGAGAGGAGGAAACCAGAAGGGTTAGTGTCCTGGTGACCACGATTTCAACCCAAGGACACCGAGAGGCTTGTCACAGAGAAATGTCCCCTTTCACAGATTTTTCCAAGGATTTTTCCTTAGGGCAAGATGTGCTTCCCTACACACGGGTGTGGCTTTTATAGTAACAGCAGGCTCCAGTGAGCAGGCAGCTCCAGGGTGACACTTATGCCATAGATAAGGAGGGAGTAGGTGGAGGGATAGATGGAGCCTTCCCACTGGACACCCAGCCTGGCCTCGAACTCCAGGCACCCAGGACTACATAGCAGGCCCCAGGAGCCAGAAAGACCAAGAGATGCCCAGAACCACAGTGGAGAAGCATAGCAGGTAGAGGGGAAAAGTGGCTGAAGAGGCAGACTCTAGAATTTGGAGTCAAATACGGTGGTTGGCAGAAGCCAGCAGGGACAACTAACTACCCACACACCTCAGGAGAATGGAATCAGCTGTTTGGTTCAGCTGGAGAGGCCAGACCCCTTAGAAGAGGCCCATTTATGCCCCACCAGGAGGCTTCAGCACCAGATGTATAAACTAAGGGCGTGGCTGTTCCTGCTCCATGGTATGCTTGAGGGGAAGTTTTGTTGTTGTTGTTGTTGTTATCATAGATGTGAGGGAGAGGAGCCAGAGTCGTCTACAGGAGTCCAGAGCAGGGAAAGAAGGCAGTAGATGAAACATGGCCATGAGATGAGTGAGTGATGGGGGAGCGAAAGAGAGAAAGTGGGCAGAGGAGACCAAGAGAGAGGCCCAAGAGAGAGGGGCCCCGAAAGAGGAAGACAAAAGAGAGCACATATCCAAAGGAGGGGCGTTGCAAGGGAACAAGAAGCTGGGGAAGGAAGCCATGACTGGAGACGGCTGGGGTGGGGTGGAGTGAGAAGAGCCGAGAGGAGACATGGGAACCTGGGATACGCAGAGCCCGGAGGTCAGTGTGATCGGTATGCCTCAGGGCCACATAGTGGGTCCTTGGCCCTCTCACCAGTAAAAAAGAGAGCTGTGGCTATACCTCAGTGGCGGAATATTTGCTTCACATGAACAATGCCCTGTATCTGATCTTCAATAATATAAAATTTGAAGGAAAAAATAACTAGAGAAACTTTTTAAAAAAGATTTATTTAGGCCGGGCGTTGGTAGCACACGCCTTTAATCCCAGCACTCGGGAGGCAGAGGCAGGTGGATCTCTGTGAGTTCGAGGCCACCCTGGTCTACAGAGTGAGTGCCAGGACAGTCTCCAAAACAATATAGAGAAACCCTGTCTCGAAGAAACCAAAAAAAAAAAAAAAAGATTTATTTATTATATATACAGTGTTCTGCCTGCATGTATGCCTGCACGCCAGAAGAGGGCACCAGATCTTATTATAGATGGCTGTGAGCCACCATGTGGTTACTGGGAATTGAACTCAGAACTTCTGGAAGAGCAGTCAGTGCTCTTAACTGCTGAGCCATCTCTCCAGCCTCAATATCTGAAACTTAAAAATCACCTAACCGGAAAAAAAAAATCACCTAACCGACTGGAAGCCTAATTGCTAAGGACCTCACAGCAGCCCAGAATCAGTGCACTGCCCTGGTCATGTTTTCAGTGCCTCTTCTTAGACAAGACCTGTGTCACCACCACTACAAGCCTGACAGAAACAGAAAACCACCCAGGAAGGAACATCGACTTTCAAAGTTACAGAATTTTTGTTTGTTTGTTTGTTTTTGTTTTTTGAGACAGGGGTTCTCTGTGTAGCTTTGGAGGCTGTCCCAGAACTCACTCTGTAGACCAGGCTGGCCTTGAACTCACAGAGGTCCATCTGCATCTACCTCCCGAGTGCTGGGATTAAAGACGTGCGCCACCACCAGCACCAGGCAAATTTACAGGATGTTTATTTGCTCTCAGCCATCTTCTCTCAGATGTGGTTGCCTTCTAGATCTGTCAGCGTGATGCAGTTTAAAGCAGTGTTACTTGGGTACCATATTCTCAACATCCATCTTAGTTCATTTCCTGCTATTACAACAGAAGATCTGACCCCAGCTGGTGATGAACAGGACCTCCGGAGGCTGGAAGTTAAGACTGAAAGGTAGGGTCTACTAAGGATTGAGAACTTCCTTGTTTTGTCAAATTGTGTCAAAAGGGATCACATGAAAAGAATGACAGGAAAACAAGCTAGATACAGTGACAAACATCTGTAATTCCCATGCACAAGAGGCTGAGGCAAAGGGAGTTCCATTAACTCGAGGCTGGCCTTAGCTGCATAGAAAACTCCTGGTCTCAAAAGAAAGAAAGAACAAGAAACGCAAAGAAGCAGTCCAGGGAGGCGGCTCAGCAGTTAAGAGCACACACTGCTCAGGCGGAGGGCCTTGGCCAATTCCCAGCACACATGTCAGGCAGCTCACAACCACCTGTAACTCCCTCCCCAGGGGATCCAACGCCCTCTTCTGGCCTCAGCGGGCACTGTGCTCACATGCCCATACCCACACACAAACACATAATTAAGCATAAAACTTAAAAAAAAATAAAATAGAAAATTAATAAAAGAACAAAAGGAAGAAAGCAAAAGAAAGGAAAGGGGGGAACCCTCTTTTTTCTTAATGAGGCCAGTTCCTTAACACACCATTAATTTCTTCACAAGGGTGGTGCTCACATAGCTTGATAACCGCTGAGACTTAGCTTTGAGCTGGTGAGATGGCTCAGAGGGTTCCACTCCCAGGATCCCCACAGTGGAAGAAGAGAAGTGACTCCCACAAGTTGTGACCTCCACACGCACTACATGACACACACACATACATACAACAAATTAATTAATTTTAAAAGACCTAAGCTCTCCGCACTGCTGCAATGAAGTCAATAACAATCTGAATTTGGAACGGAACATCCAGAGCATAGGAGAGGTAGACTGCAGCTCTGTAAAATGAAGAAATCATGCCGGGCGGTGGTGGCGCATGCCTTTAATCCCAGCACTCGGGAGGCAGAGGCAGGTGGATCTCTGTGAGTTCGAGGCCGGGCTGGTCTACAGAGTGAGTTCCGGGATAGCCTCCGAAACAATACAGAGAAACCCTGTCTCGAAAAACCAAAAAAAAAAAAAAAAAGATGAAATCAGGGGTTGGAGAGGTGGCTCAGCAGTTACCAGTGCTTACCTAGCAATGACTTGTTTGGTCCCAACACCCAAGACAAGAAACTCACAGCTGCCTGTAATTCCAGTTCCAGGGGATCTGACACCCTCTTACGGCCTTCAAAGACACCTCTGTGTGACAGCTGTAGACCGGGTTGATCTCAAACTCACAGATATCCACCTGCCTCTGCTTCCCGAGTGCTGGGATTAAAGGTGTACGCCACCACACCTGGATTAAAAATAAATCTAAAAAAGGAAAAGAATCGAGGTCTTTAATGTGTCCTAGACAAAATGAGACACTGAGTTCTATTGTGGAGACACAAAATGCTATAGAAAATAAACGAGCTGGCAAAGGAACCTTAGGGCCCAGACTTGTGAGTAGAGTTCCCAGAAATGACAGGCAATATTTAAGGAGAGCTGCTACTGAAGGAAGTATACCGAGGACGACATCACAGGCCTTGTTTCCTTATGCCCTTCCTAGGAAAGAAAATGTAAGAGGAGTTTCGTTTTTAAAAAATATTATTATTAATGTGGGGGGAGTGATGGGTCAGATGTGGGTATGTATGGTGTGTGGGTACATGTGTGTATGATGTGTGGTATGAGTGTATGTGGTGAGTATGTGTGTGTGTGGTATATGCATGTATGGTATGTGTGTATAGGGTGTGTGGGGGCATGTGTGTGCATATGATGTACATATATGTGGCGTATGGAGTTATGTGTGTGATGTGTGTGTATATGTACATGGTGTGTGTGTATGTGTGTGTTGTGTATTGTATTTTGGGTGTGCATATGTCTGTGGTATGTGTGTAATGTGTGTTCATGTGTTGTATATGCAGTGTGTGTATGGGGTGTGTATGTACGTGTGGTGTATGCATGATGCATGTATATGTGGTATATGTATGATATGTATGTATGGTATGTGCATGTATGATGTGTGTATGGTGCGTATGTATGGTGTGTATATTGTGTGTGTGGTATGTGTGTAGCGTGTATGTGTGGTATGTGTGTAGTGTATGATATGTATATATAATGTGTGTATGTGGTGTGTGTGTAATGTGTGTGAATGATGTATGTATGTGGTGTGTGTCCAGTGTATATGTGTGGTGTGGGGGTGTGTGTATGGTGTGTGTGGTATGTGTTATGGTGTGTGTATGCTGTGTGTATGGTGTATATTATGGTGTGTGTGTATGTGTGTGGTCTGTATGAAGTGCATGCATGATGTGCATGTGTATGATGTGTGTGTATGTATGGTATATGTGTATGACATGTGTGTATGACATGTGTGTATATGGTGTGTGTGTACGCGTGCATGCGTGTGTGTGTGTGTGTGTGTGTGTGCAAAGAAGCATGCACAGAGGCATAGTGTAGAAATTAGAGGGCAACTTTCAGGAGTTAGCTCTTTCCTTCCACCATGGGATGAAACTCAGGTCACTGGGTTTGCCCAATAAGCATCTTTACTCCCTGCGCCGTCTCACCAGCCCTTATGTGCATTTTTCAACTGTGCATGGGAGCCGGATATGGCATTGCACTCCTGCAAGGCAGCACTTCAGAGTTAGGGTTTAAGGCTAGCCTGAGCTACACAGCTGAGGCCTGTCTCTAACAAACCAACAAAAACAAGAAACCTCTCTAATACCACAAGGAACTGAAGCCAGAGCTGAGGCTCCCATTGCCCTGCCCAGTCTCCTCCCATCCGGACATGCCCAGCCTGGTTCCCAGGGGCCAGCATCTTTATCCACTCGCCTATAACGTAACAGACTAGGCGTTCCTGTGAGCCCTGTCCTTGGAAGCCCCTCCTGTGTACCGACAGTGTGAGTGTACAAGCCCCAGCTCCTGCTCTCTGCTCTCCTGGGCTGGGTTAGGTGTCCTGGGCTCCCTGCGGGCTAACGCTGCAGCAGCCTCCCTCCACCTGCCCTTCCCCTCCCAGACACTGACCACCGACCTGTCATTGTAGGGTTAGCAGCTATCAGGAACTAACTCAAGCTACTGCAACTTACAGCTCAGTCATGAAGGAAGCAAACACAGAGCTAAGGTTCAAAATGAGGAGTCTCCCACAGAGCCAATCTCCTAGACTAAGAAGAATTACCTCCCTGATTTGGTGGCTCCTGTGACATTCCTGTACTTAGGGCTGGCGGAGTCTGCACAGACAGTCACCTCCTCCCTAACCACGCCAGCAATGGAAAACACACTGTCCCTTTGTTTATCAAAGCAGGCTGGCTGTGCTGGCCTTTCTCCTCACTGCACTGTCCACAAATGGCCATGGTGGACGCGAGCAGGCCTGACCTTACCTAGCTGCTGTGGAGGCTTGGGCAGCAGTAGAGGCCGTCTTCATTCCTGAACTCGTTTCTCAGCCAGAGGCCTCGCAGAAGCAGGAGCTCTGCCCTCCATGTGGCAGATGGGCAGAAAGTTTGTGCAGTCTGGAGGCCTGGCTCCAAGCCCCAGAAGGACACACAAATGTCTTTGTGGTGGATGCCAGAACTGAATCGTGTCACCAAGAGCCTTGTGATGTCCTTTAAAAAGATGAGGCAGCTTTTCCTTCAAAAGAAAACCTGTGCTTGAGGAGCACAGAGAGTGAGCAGCCAGACGACATGAAGTCATTATCCTTTGTCCCTCTGGGAGTGAGCGTGAGGCTGAAAATTTCCCAAGACAGGCACGGGACTCATTTCTGTGAGGAGTGATTCATGAAGACATGGCCACTCCGTTCCCTAGCGTGGGGCTCTTGGAATCTGCATCTTGAATGTATAAACAGAGGACAGCCTCTATTATCACATGACAGAAAGAATCATCTCTGTAGAACATCGTCCACGGGAGGAATAATAGCTTACGAAGCTTCCAGATACTGAGTAGTAGAAATACTACTACCTTGTCAGTTTACCTACTGTCAAAGTGGTGCTCAAGAGCCATCTAGCCATCTAGGAGATCACTGAGGCAGCAGCCTCCTGTCCATTTCTTCCCTGGGAAGGGGCTGCCATGAGGATCTCGAAAAGTCAGCTCTCAGAGGATGTTTTGTGAATGCTGAAAGCATCATAGGCCAGTTCTGGGGATCTGAGACAGGATGAGGCAGGGAGGGCCGTAACTTAGACAAGGATTTGAGCAGGACAGCTCTTGGGAAATGTACCAAAAGGTACTCCTATTAAGTAATTTCATTTTACCCCTGAATCTGGACTTTCATTCCTAACTTAAAAACTTCACCGGGATTATGCTTCCCCAAAGCTATACTTCCAACCACCATCTATCCTCCTTGAAATGTGTAATTCTTTTTTTTTCTTGGTATTTTCGAGACAGGGTTTCTCTGTAGCTTTGGAGGCTGACCTGGAACTCACTTTGTAGACCAGGCTGGCCTCGAACTCACAGAGATCCGCCTGCCTCTGCCTCCGGAGTGCTGGGATTAAAGGCGTGCGCCACCAACACCCGGCGAAATGTGTAATTCTTAATTTCACCATTCTTGAGGGGCTTTCAGCTAGCTAAACATGCATATCCATCTCCCTTTCCCCTCCACTCCCTCTTAAGTGTCAGAAGGAAGATGACAGACACAGGAGCCTGCCACAGCACTGGGAGCTTGATGGGCGTTACAGAAAGTGAGGCCAGCCAGGAATTGTGGGTAAGGTGAGCAGCAAAATTTTGTGCAGCCTACCACCTGTATTAGTCAGGGTTCTCTAGACAAGCAGTTCTCAACCTGTGGATCATGACCCCCTTAGAACAACCGTTTCACAGGGGTCACCTAAGACCATCAGAAAACACAGATATTTATATTACAATTCATAATGGTAGAAAATCACAGTTATAAAGTAGCAATGACAATAACTTTATGGTTGGGGGCCACCACCAAGGAACTGTATTAAAGGGTCACAGCATTAGGAAGGAGGTTGAGAACCACTGCTCTAGAGAAACAGAACTTGTAAAATGAATATATATATATACATATATATATATACACACACACACATATAGATATATATACATATATATGAGATTTATCAGAATGGCTGTGGTCAAGTTAATCCAACAATGACTCTACCCGAGTCTGGTAGTAGTTTTCAGTCCACAAGGCCAGGTGTCTCAACTGGTCTTCAGCAGGCACTGGAATCCTAAAGAAGTAGGGTCTCACACCAGTGAAGGCATGGACTTGGCCAGCACGGGCAAGCAGGCAGAGAGCAAGCTTCCGTCTTCCCCTCCTTTACACGGGCTGCCAGCAGAAGGTGTGGCCCACGATAAAGGTGAGTCTTCCCTGCTCAGGATATCTGGATTAAAAGTGGGTCTTGCCTCTTCAGGTGATTTTAATTAAGAAAAAAACCTCTCTCAGCTCTACCCAGATGCTTGGGCTTTAGTTAATTCCAGATGTAGGTAAGTTGACAACCAAGAATAGCCGTCACACCACTCAACAATGTGTTTCCCCTAAACCGGCTGCTGTCAATCTCAGTACTCAGAGGCTGTGCAAGGGGCTGCAAGTTCAAGCCCCCAAGACTACACACAGAGAGAGAGAGAGAGAGAGAGAGAGAGAGAGAGAGAGAGAGAGAGAGAGGGAGGGAGTGGGTGGGAAAGAGAAAGAAGGGAGAAATAGAAAGAGAACAGAGATGGGGGAGAGAGAGGAGAGAGAGAACAGAAGGAAGAGAAAGGGCAACAAGAGGATATTTAATCCCAGCACTTTGGAGTCCGTGGTGTTGGGGAAGTCTTATGTCAATAAAGTACTGTTGAGCCTATAGGGAACCAAGATGGGAGGGACTAGGAGTCCAGGAGAACTCTGGGTAGGAGAAACTCAAGAGAGTCGACATGTAACGCCATGGGTAGGAGCCCGGAACTATTCTCCGATAAGAAACATACTTAGATTAACAATTATGGGGTAATTACTTAAGGCAGAGCTAGCCAGTAAGGGACAAGCAAGGCCAACAGCTTCATAATTAATATAGCCTCCTGTGTGTTTATTTGGGACTCATGCGGATCTCGAAACAGGCTGGCGCGGCAGAGCCCAGGCGACTGGCGGGGGATAAACCAAAGCGGCTAGCAAGGAAAAAGCTTCTCTTAACACAGTGGCAGGTGGATGTGAGTTCCAGACTAGCTAGGATTACATAGACCTTGTCTTAACAAGCAAATGAAAAGATAAACCCCACGGTGGAAGCATGAGAGACTCCCAGGAAGAGAGATGTGAGCAGGGAATGAAGGACTTTCCTTAGGCCACAAGGAAACTGGATAAGAGGGGCAGGGTGAGGCCCTGCTGTGCACAGTTTGCCTGTGGAATTTTCTCTTAGAGAAAAATGTAGGAACCTAGTGATAAAATGGAAATTCCCCTCCAGAAACACCTTGGAGGAATATTGGTCATACTGCTCCTGTGTAGTGCCCCCATAACTTTGCCCTTAAGAGCAATGCAGACAACTCCCAGTGACACCTGGCTGTATGCACAGCTTTCCTTCTGTTCCTTGCCACTGTGGCCAGGGCTGTAGAAGAAAGACTTAAAGGTATTTTGAGTTACCCTCCAAACAGTCAGGAAACCAACAGGGTTTCTCTGTCGATTTGGAGGCTGTCCTGGAACTCACTCTTGTAGACCAGGCTGGTCTCGAACTCACAGAGATCTGCCTGCCTCTGCCTCCCAAGTGCTGGGATTAAAGGCCTGTGCCACCAATGCCCGGCGCAACTAAATTTTTAAGTAGAAAATTTTCTGAGTGTGATGATATAGACCTTTATTCCCAGCGTGAAGGAGGTAGAGGCAGGCAGATCTCTGAGTTCAAGGCCAGCCTAGTCTGCATAGCAAGCTCCAGGTTAGACAATGCTACATAGTGAAATTTGACTCTAAACAAATATGTAAGAAAATGTTAAGGGCTGGAGGCATGGCTCTATGGTAGACAACTTGCCTAGCACGCTAGAGGCTCTTGGTTGATCCCAGCCAAAACAAACAAAAGGAACAAACCAAGAAGGGAAAGGAAGAGGAGGAGGAAGAACTTTGAATCTAACAGTCCCAGGGAGTTTGAAGTTGGCTTTCCTGAAACCTACCATCTCTCCTCCTCATGGGGAGAGTCCAAGGAGCCCTCTGCCGGCAGAGAACCCTCATCAAGTGTTGCATACTCCGAATCCCAGCACTGGAGAACCAGGAGGATCTCTGGGAGTTCTAGGGCAGTCGGGGCTTATTACATAATGAGACCCTGTGCAAAAAAAAAAAAAAAAATCTGTGAGTACTCTGAACTTTATATTTACCTTTAAATAATGGTTCCCTGTGGCCAATTCCATATCTAAACCTGAAACAAGTAGGTGATCAATCTCCCTCCACATACACACACACACACACACACACACACCATACACACTACACACATACCACATACCGCACATCACAGACACTATACATACTACACACACACCATTCACACCACACACACCACACATCACACACACTATACACACACATCATACACATACACACCATACCACACACACACCACATACACACACACTATATACACATACTATACACAAACCACCCAAACCACACGCACACATAAACACACATACACATACCACACACACCACATACACACACACACCATGCATACGCCAAATACATGCACAAACATACACCACACATACCACACACACAAAAGAGAAACATTTTTACCTCCTTAAAATAATCTGGGAAACCCAGGAGCATTAAGCAGAAAGAGATCCCAGGAATTTTTACAGTATTAAATCAAAATAAATTATACTATTGTTGTTATTTAGTATTTACTCAATATTCACTGAAAATAAAGTTTGGGCACCATTTTAGGAGTTTGGTAGCAGCAGAGATAAGGTACAAAAGCATCGATACTCTGAGCCAGGCATTAGTGGCGCACACCTTTAATCCCAGCACTTGGGAGGCAGAGGCAGGCAGATCGCTGAGTTTGAGGCCAGCCTGGTCTACAGAGTGAGTTCCAGGACAGGCTCCAAAGCCATACAGAGAAACCCTGCCTCGAAAAAACAAAAACAAAAAAGCATCCCTACTCTCGTGGCAGTTTAGTCTGGCAGAGAAGGAGATGGACACAGATTATCCATGTGGTGAGAGATGCTATGAAGAAAGGTAAGTCAGAATTGGGATTACAAAATAAGAACAAGGGTTTTTGTGGGGGATATCTTACTGTTCTAGATGAGCCTTTAGGGGCCTGAGGGAACCTGGAGGAAATATGAGGTGGGTATGGTGGGGAGCAGAGAAACAGGTTCAAAGCAGAGGGACCAGCAAATAACAAGGAAATGGCCTGAAGAGAAGTGACTGGAGTTGCTAATCAGCCTCAAGGAGGCTGGTGTGGCTTCAGGGGTAGATAAGGACAGAAGGAACAGGTGACAGCCATATAGAACCGTACAGGTGTCCCTTCGGCTTTGCTCAGAACTGAGAAAGTGGACAGAAGCTTCCAGGTGGGGAAGAGGCAGGATCCGACCTGTGATCTGTCCATAAAGGACTAGCAGAGGCCGGAAACAGGAACAGTATGGACAGCCCTGGGCACACTGGGCCCCTCCCTAGTTTCCTCTTGGCTGTCGCCTGAAGGGCTAAGAAGGATCCTCCAAGGAGATGGCCCAGGCTAGCCTCTTCTTGTGTCACCTTTCTGCCCAAGCCTTGCTCACCTCTGCACTTCAAGAGCCTTCCTGAGAGACAGTCTTGCTGTGGAATATTCCTCTTGTACAGTGTAAAGATTTGTCACTGGAAT